GTATCAACGAGTTCAATCTCAAGTCAACACTGCGTACTCCATGGCTAGCCAACGACCATGGAGACAAGGTTGGAGGGAAAAACGGCATTAATACTTAAGAACTTAAAAAGAACTTAAAATCTTGAACCGTACCATTTGAATGGGTGCGAGTCAAGGTTAACCGCAGAAAATGACCTAATCAGAGTCCACAAGTTACGTCAATCCGCCATGCCCATGTGGGATGACATGGACCAATTTATCAGGTCGTAAGATTCATGCGCTCATCAATCATTCTACCTCCAATAGGATGGCCCAGATCGGTTGGACGGCGGAGCAGGTACCTTTACAATCAAACGGACCAAGCCAACGTGTGTGTCACAGGCCCATGTACGTTGTTGTGTCTCGGTAATTGAGAGCGATTGCGGGAGGTTGGTGCTGTGGAGCGTGATATTGGGAAATGCTGCCTGCGCGACCGTCAAACGAAGAGTCGAGGATTTCCCGTTTCTTGACCACTTCAAGGCCAGCTGCGATGTATGCTACATTGATTGATAGGGCAGACATGAGACAGACATGCGATTCGTTATCTGTTTCGGGGAATTGGCCCGACACTGGCTGTTGAGAATAGTAACAAGGTCCAGCTCAAAGATAGACATCCTCCGCCTCACCAACCGATCGGCCGTTGTCCGCCCTCCCCTAGACCAGGGAGATGCTTGATCATTTATATCGACGTCATAGGGTCCTTCTCATAACAACAGATCGCTATCCTGTAATAATAATAAAATATTAGTAGAAATTGGGAACTCATCCTGGAAATGTTTACTGTACTGGCACGGTACCTTACGGAGCACTCAAACCTCATGATGACGATAATTATGTCACTTGGTGAGCGGCTATGCCCGAGATCTCAAGCAAGGGAAAGCGGGGAGCAGTCCTGCGTACCATGGAACGAACTCCTACCACGCCAGCCAGGAACAAGGGGTTTCTCTCTGAGAATTACCGTAATATTCTGATTTCAGTACTCCCATGTTATTCAATACATTTTGCATTCTTTTCCCCTCCAATCACTGCTCGTGGTGTAACCAATGACGATCGAGAATTCGAGAGAGTGGGGAGCGTGAAAAAGCCTTCATGCAGGAAGAGATCTAGTCATCCATACAGAGACTTACCCTCAGTAGAGTCCCAGTTGCTTGTGTTGCGCCAGCGAACGAGCGGTCAGATCTCTACCAGTTGCGATTTCAATGGTGCGACTTTTGCCTTTGGGCTAGCTGCAGGCGGAGATGAGTGTAAGCGCGTGTCTTGCTGATGTGCGATCAAATTTCCCCACTTTGAGTTCGATCGTTCCCAGATCTGGGTCAAGGATAACCAATGTTGCAAGCCTGTGAGTGCTCATAGAGTCGTAGCCTTATCTCACACAAGGGTCAGATGGTCTTCCCTTCTTTTCATCCTGCATATGTTGCTTTATTCGTAGACCCGATTGGGTGTATGTTTATGAGGACTATTCTTAGCAAATCTTCTGCACACGCTCTTGCTGCTTGCTGATGTTTGCCATGAGACAGATAATGAAGCCTTTGTTATTTGTACAGAACTGCCTGGAAATCTCAGAGGAAGACTTCGTCGGAGACCCTAGCGCAGGATGAAACAAGAAACGAACTCAGATAAGATGTATGGTGCATTGAACTAGATCTGCTCACTGATCTCAGATAAAGGGATGGATAAAAAAGTCCGCTTTCGTGGGTAGCCTTATGCATAGTCCGCCATGGTTCGCAAAGTATATCGGGCAAGGGAAGCACCATCAGAAGATACGCAGCCATGCTTTCCACCCACTTCCCCTGCAAAAGTGCATGGACGGAGGATCTTCTATATTACAGTCTGTCAACACTATGGTCATGATGACCGCCATAGCGCTTGACTCTCTGAGTAAGAAGCAGACGAGAGAGAACCTCAAATCTGCATAAATGACACCCAATCTATAACTTCCTGTAAGGACGATTAGGAGATGCCCTCCAGTTTGAGGTCAAGTTTGACCTCGTTTGTTCATCTACAAAGGACTCAGAAGCCCCTGTCTATTTCCTTTATTCTTGTAGACTTGAACAATAGGTATTCTCCGTCAACAAAACTAGGTTGGCCGTTTTCCAAGCTAATGTGCATAATGTACGATCTAGGTATGGCGTCTTCTACATCCCCTCCATTACTCCCGAAAAGAAGAGACCGGTTTTATTGACCTTTATTGGTAATTTTGAAAAGATCCCATCAAATTCACTCAACCTTCTCTCCAGACTCTTGTCTCTCAACTTTTGATTACGATCTCTCCCCCTGACCCTGAGTGGGCTTGGGTAATATTATTTACTTATTATCCAACGCCATTGTCCCGCAATAGCTAGGTGGAAATGATCTTGTCAATCATCGAATAGGTTAGATCTTACTCATCAGACCTGTCACCTGTCTTCCGGACAGTTCCAGTACGTCTTTGAATTTGAAATACTTCGTAACATGAACACATCTATTCTCTTGCCTTCGAGGCCTTCTGATGGGTACTTATTCTTAAAACAATAATAATGATAATGGGTGATTTTCTGTTATATTAGTGATGGTGGTAATTAGCAGACCACAGGGTGAATGAGAATTTATAGAAGGCAACTCGAAATTTCTTCAGATATTTCCTCGATAGTATGTATTGAAATCGTTTTACAATGGTAACAGAAACAATGAGCTTAAAAAAAGAGGCAAGATCTAGCTAAGATAGAAGATGAGTGAACCAAGGCAGTGGAGATCTGCAAATCAATAAGAAATTAATAAATAAATATAAAAAAAAAAAATTAAGGAAAAAAAAAAAATCAAAAAATTATATTGGAGAAAATCAAAAGGAAAATGGAAAATGGGAAAAAAAGGAAAAAGTAGAGGAGAAAATGTACTCCGCGGAGGGCCCAAGAGGCCAAAGAGAGCAGCCCCTTGTCATCAGCCCCACCCAGATATCCGCTCATCACCAATATTGACCCAACAACTTACTCCACACTCTTTCGTCGAAGATCCGCAGTTCGCAGCTTGTAAACCTTCTGTAATTCGCCGTAACTTTAAACAGGTCACAGCTGAGTACTCGACAATCTGGCAGGTGTAGGCTACGGTGTCCGATCTCAAGTAAAGGGTCCTCTGAAATCTGCTTGGCTATCTGTCCTTTCAAATGGTAACAGTAAATACTATTTCCGCCTCTAAGCTTATCCGGCCTGTCGATGATTTGACGTACCTAGGTAGTCTTCAGTAGCTTCCGCTTGAATGGACCCTTCCATATCTCCTGTGCGGGCCTGCCTGTGGCTGTCTTGTAATTGTCTTAATTCCGAAGCAGAAATCTAGGTACATACATAGTCTGCTAAGGCGTTAAGTACCTTAGTGAAGTGGTGCCCCGTACCTAGTTAGTAACTCAGGTACTAGTCCACAGTAGTAGCCTGTAGTGGGAGAAGTAATAATAATGAGGATATTAGAAAAGAAATTGTCGATTTATTATTATTTTGTTTTTCACTTTATCTCCGTTAATAATAATAAATAATATTATTCTAGAATTATAATTATAGTCATAGCTAATCTCTCCCTCCTCCGATGCTGGTTCTTCTTTGATCTTATTCTAGTAATTATTTAGCTTCTTGCCTCTTGACTCTCTTCTTCTCTACCAACCTTTCCTAAGATCCTGCATATCATCCTCGCTCTTCGAACTCTTCTGCTTGAAGCAAGACTTCAGATTTCGGGAGAAGTCCTTTCGAACTGAACCCGCTTGCGCTTCTTCCTGTCGTCTCTCCCATCCCTCAGCCTCTATCCATACCGATTACTTGCTTTTCCCCCAAAATCGCGCTTCTGCTTCCCCGTCAATAATTTCCTCCGTCGTTTATCTGAGTTTGACGCATACCTAAGTTGTCATTTGGAGAGACAAAGAAACAGGCCAACGTTTCCTATTACACGCGACGCATTCATTCATTATCCCTTGCATCAACAGCGCCGCCCGCACCTCCCGCCCGCAACTCACACCACTATTGTCGAGATCGAAAGAGAACAAAACACAAATATTTGACAGCTGGAAGTTTATTTCTATTTTTTTACCCACGCAAATTTATCTTTGGACAGATGACACTCTGAAACACAAGAACGGCTGTTCTGATCTGATCCGTTCGTCGCGCGCTTCGGATGATTGCCGTATCCTTGATTCCTCCACCCAGAATTGTGAGAGGATCAGTCCTATTTGACAATCGCGCCCACTTCTAACCGCATCGCATCTTCCGTGGGCTACTTGATCCCTACCTGCGCCACTCCACTCTTCTTACATCGGAGTTTGATCCCAAGCTTTTCCTGTGAATCGAAGTTGTCAAGAGTCCAGGCTTTCATTCTTAGGGACACCTTACGATCTTCTAACTCCAAATTTGCCTGGTTCACTCTCCCCACACAACCGCCAACCAACTCAAACAACCTGATAAAGAAAGGTGGCACCTCCTCTCTTCGTCAACGTATTCGTCGCACCATCTTCCCTTAGGCAAGCAAAAGGGGATAGTGTTCAGGTACTACGATTTCAGGAAGAGGACGACTGCACATCCCTCGAGGACCTTACTCGAACGTCGAATCTTGCCGCAGGACCGCCTAACGCTCTCCAGCCCCTCATCACTACACCAACGCGCCGAACCGCCCTGCCGATCGACCAAACGTTGCGATCCTCTTAATAGTTGATTGAAATTCGCCGGGCGGCAGCGGCCAGTAGCGGGAATTTGGAGTGGATGAGCCGGAGCACTCAAAGTGACATTCAGGCGTAATGGGGTCATTAGAGGCAACTCATAGACAGAGGTCAGTCTTGCCCCTTTTCCGTCCCATCATGCGCTCCGAGCCGATCATGAAGGAAGCATTCGCTGATGATATTTACTGACTGTGAATTTGCTGCATCTAGGGACCATCTACCAACCATAAGTTTCTTCACAAAGGACGGGTCTGGGTATCCCTCGAGAAATTCGACGATCTCATCACCAACACCCCTCGTTAGCCCGACAACCATGTATCCCAGCCAACCTTCACCTTACTCCTATCAGCCTCCTGCGGCTAGCGCACCTCCACAGCCCGGATACATCTCTCCTCCAGATTCGAGGCGGGCACTCGAGGAAGAAAAGGAGAAACAGTTGCAACCACAGAGACAATCACTCCCTTCAATTCACGAGGCGTTAAGGAATGATAGCCCTTTACCATACCCTGCTCCACCTACATCGGGTCCTCCGCCGCAAGCTCATCCCGCTCCTCCACATGCTCTCGTCGGTCGATCAGCAGGAGATGGTCCGGCCGGACCCCCCAACCCGTTCTCAAATGGAGCGCCAGCAGGCCCATACATGCGCGAACCTGCTTATTCTCAGCTGCAAACGGAGGCTTCGCGGTCAAGCCTCGCATCTATCACCACACAGGAATCGAGAAATCCCTCATTACAGTCGCTCAACTCGAGCAAATCACCTACCCACAGTGCCAAGACTGGCTTGACTTCGATCGCGGGCTCGCAGACGGGATCCGGGTACGAATACAGTGCTCCTACTTCGGCGGGGAGTATTGCCTCACCAAATGGATACACCGCATATTCGCAGCCGTTCACTTTTCAGTCACAACCTCCACCAAACGCACCGACATACCCTCTATCCCATCATGACACTAGACCCTATGCGGGAACGCCCTGGAGACCTGGCGCGCCAGAACCACCACGTGTCGAGGAATTGAAAAATGGGCTGGCGGGGCGTCCTGCGGTTCCGGTACAACCTCAAGGCGACTCTGCCAAGCGCCACTTGGACATCTACGAAGTGGAGACCTCACTTAACGAGGTATGTGTTTTCATTGCAAGGAACATGTTTTCCGGCGTTGTTCGCTAGATTACTGATGGACTCTGGATTAGATCGCCGAAGTGAGTTCGCGGACCTTGGACTTTTCCCGGCACTATGCTACCAGAGCGCACCAGACTCAGCGGTCTGGGCCCATGTTGGGGACTTTGCCTTCCCTCCACGAAATTGAAGACATGATCAATCTGCAACGTCGGAATCAGGATGCTTTGATGCGGATACGAACCGCTGTTTTGAACCAGGAGCATGCCTTGGCGGAGCAGATGGCTCAAAGAAAAGCTTTTAACGCCGGTGGAGTCCATGATAGTGACCATATGGCAATGTACCAAGAAGATTTCAAGGGTAGTGGCGGATTTGCCGGGCCGGATACCAAAAAGCGACGAGGGGTAGGTTCTACTCTGTACTGTGCTTATTTGCTCACCCCTTTCCTTTGGCTGCTGGCACTATCGTTGCAGCGAGTCTCGGGCTTTTCCATTGTTTTCCAGAGCGTCATTTCCCGACTGGACAAAGATTATTGCCGAGCTAACCAAGCATCATTATAGAAAGCCGCCCCTCCTGGTCGTTGCCACAGCTGCAACCGAGCCGAAACTCCAGAATGGCGTCGTGGTCCAGATGGCGCTCGAACATTGTGCAATGCCTGTGGCCTACACTATGCCAAATTGACGCGCAAGATGGGCGCCAGCAAGGCTGCATCCCTGGGCTCGAATCTGAAGCCCAAAGCCGCTCTCGATCCTGCACCTCCCGGTACCCGATAATCACGTGCCTTCTTTTTATTTTCTACTTTCATTTTTATTTTTTCTCTTCCCTTCTCCCTTTTTCTCATAATTTCCTTGTACTTTGTGGCGTTAAAAAGGCATTGGGGTTAGAAGTGCCAGGCGTTCTGTGTCCCAAAGTTTTGTTTGGATCACGAGCTCTTGCATCTTGGTCCTTCTCTGGATGTCACGGCCAGAATGTTTTTACTTTGCGGATGGGTCATGCTCACTTGACCATCCGACAGTGGGCCTCGTTCATCTCCTCCTATTATTGATTTTGTTTTTGGAATTACCCTTTCTTAATACCCCTCGCACGTTATAAGACAGCTCCCAGGATAGACTATCTTCTTCTGTACTGGGCGATTATCGACTACTAGTTGATCTAAGATGTCTTTGTTCCCCTGCGTGGCATCGTGTACCTGATCTACTTTTGTTTTGCAACTCTATACCCCAGCTTCGAGCTTCGACCCATGAACTCATCACTCCAACCGTATGCCTACTGTCTGGGAAGGTGTTGATCTATGGTTCTACTCACTAGATTCGAGAAGATGTTAATCAATAAAACACGGATGACAACCATGTGTCGTGTGCCACTCGTCTCAGATACATCTGCTTGGCGAATTGTCTTTGTATACTCCGTACATACCATTAGCGCATCTTCTGTATCATGCGAAGCAAGACCCACTTGGCAGCCTCGCCACGATCAAGGAGAGGAAGGAAAAAGAAAAAGGAAATAAATGAATAATAAAAATTTGGAAGTATGGAAACTACCAGAAAAGCAGAACCAAGCAATTGCCAGTTAGTACTCTGTATCTGTAGACTGGACGTTACACTGTTAATCTCCGACACGAGGTAGTCTAGCACTCGCTAAATTACTTCACATCACTGAGGCAACAGCCATAATACATTCCATAGCATTACAGAGTACAGCCTTTGTCTCAGACTCCGACATTCGGGATACAGGCGCTACTCCGCACAGGGTGAAGTACATATGAACATATTTCGAGAGTCGCTCTCTGGCCTGTGCCTCGTCACGGGATACCTCATGACGTGCAAGGCTCAGGAGGTGAACTCTGAATAGATTCATCGGGCTAATGAGACTAGTCGTCTAGTGACTGTCTAGCGCGCATCGGACGCATGGGCCTCCAGATAGACTTTGTCATAGCGCAGGATGTGTGCCGCATGGCTTTGGATAGAGTTTTATTACTAGAATTCGATTCCATGGCGTACGTAGCGTCGCTGGTAAGTTGCAGGTATCTAGGAGATTTGCCATCGCACATCGTGGTTGTGTATTCGTAGGTCGGAAGTACTGCATAGGTACTTATGATGATGTTGATATAGGAGAAAGGGCTGGATCTTGGATGACTGAAAGCGGTATAGTGTGTGCCAGCCAGACCCTGAAGAGGAATCTTACGGTGTACTGTAAAATCATCCAATCACCGAGCGTCGAATCCCGAAATCGCGCTAGAACCCACCAGAACCACCTCCGTGGGTCTCATATCGTCGATTTTAATTAAACATCAATAATGTTACGGAACTCCCGTAGTCGCGGTGACCAAAGAGGGTCGACTCTTTTCTTGGATTTACCGATTAATAGAGTATGGCAGACATATTTGAGTTTTGACTTGCATATGCTTCCAGCTGCAAATACAGGCTGCTGGTGTGTGGCCGACATGCCTGTACTGCGAAAATGTATTTATGTAACCAGAAGGTTCGGCCCATGTTTTTTTAAAATACCGAGTGAAACACTGCCTACCTGTATCCAGCCTAGTGTTTCGATCGAATCGCATCGCATCGGATCGGATCTCAGGATCTCATCTCATCTCATCTCACCTGATCTAATCTCATCTCCAATCTTGCATGGGTCATCAGACTGCTTTTTACGACAAAGGATTTTTTGGCTGCGCCACTGCGAGACTATTGAGTGTTCCCCTGACTTCAAAACGGAAGGTGAGTATCGCAAATCCTCTCACCGCACAATCTGACAATTACAAATCGGCGGCCCTGTTCAACGCTATGGCGATGTGGTGTAACCTAATTTCAGCTAGTGTCTCGTAGGTCGAGTTCGGTCGTTGCTGCTTATCCCGGACAACTCCGCTGCAGCCTGGGAAGGATTTATGAGAGAGATTGACAGACGGGATACATAGAATTTCGATGGTTTCCTTATGGCCTAGTCTAGAAGGGGGCAGTGTAATCTATAAGGTACCGTCCCGCTTGACCCAAAGGTTACGGATTGCTTACATTTGCTTCTCGAGATTTCAGATTCGGATCTCCGCGGCATCTGACTATTATCTCTCCGGTCACTCGGCATAGGACTAGAGTAACTCGAAAAATAATGCTTTCAAATGTTAGAGAATTATTTGTCGGGGACCCATAAACACTGGTCTTCCACATTTGGTACGGTACTATCGGCGACCACGCGGAAACGTGAAGGAAAAAAGATGTCACCGATCTCCGGCCGAGCACGTACAAAAAATACGCACGACCCAGTCCCTCGGTGCCAGGGAGCGGTGTGCTCAAACTTCCGAGTCCAATCTATGGTACTGTACTCTGCTCAGTCTGGTAATAATCATGATTAAAATTCAAGTTTGTATGCCATATGGAGTATGTACTTGGGTGATCTGTGTTTCTATTCCACGAGGCACGTATGTCCAAGGTTTACTGCAGAAAGTACTCCATATTCCATTTTTGGCCAGGCAGGTCTTTTACAGTACTCCATGCTATTCTGGTATTTGTATATCGACGAATGGAGCCCACGCCTACAGTAAAGAAGATCCAAGATACGACCATCTCTTTCTAGAAAGGTACCGCCATAGCTGGAAGACTAGGACGGCCCAAATTCCAGATCCGAGACTCTTCCTGCCGTGTTTGGCTGGGAGTCGTCGGTGTCGAACCTAGATTCCCGTTCCCGGTCTGTTGTCCTGATTGGGAAATGGTTGATTGTTGAGGGATGGGATATTGAACTTGGCTGGATGTTGCTAGTTTGTCCCTAGACTCGGATTGATTCTAACGGGTAAGGAGTGATGTACAGCCAACAGATGAATACGGTAGTATTGTACCTACATGTAGCTATGTGCATAGGTTCATTCTGTACGGAGTATTTCATGGTTTAGAGCCTGTAGGTAGATCATTATAAGTCATAGTTGTACCTCATGCAATCATCTGACCCCTGATGGTCAAAAGTGTTGGTCTCCATCCATGCAGTCGGAGTAGTCGATCCTGTGTTATCTTGGTTGCTTTTGTCCTGGACTCTTGACCTTAAATGGTCAAGTAGCTATGAAGAGTCAGTGACCCACTACACATGTGTGTCGTTTTCTGATTGCTCGGTGGTGATACCCGGAGATCAATGGGTCCCGAACGGGTAGTCAGATGGAATCCGAAGAATCACTTCGCTTAAGGAGAGGAGGGTAGCTTCTGCTGAAGTTACCTCATGGGGACTAGATATCATCACCATGTTGGCATGCTCTCCAAACTCAGCCTACCTATTCCGTATACCATTTCCATACTATCGGATCGTTACCGGACATTCGGTCCAATAAGTGAAAAGGAAGCTCCAGATAGTGCCCAAGTAAGGTTTGTTTGGAGCATGAAATGGATCTATGTCTTGCTCCGATCTCTATCCACCCTACGTTGGGATCATGGGCTTGAAACGCTTCCTTTGTATTAATCAGCGGGCAATAATATGCGCTAATAGATCAGCAGATAGGGCAGTGATGATTACTCACGTTACACAGCAGCACGATGGTTTGGTTTGTACTAATGAGTCGCTATTATGCGCTTACAACGCCAGATCGGCGTCCTCCACCCAACGATTTTCATCGCTTGCATCCGAATTTCTGGTCAATAGTCATGCCGGAAGCAAGGAGATATTTGCCCAAATCGACACCACCTGACTGGTCAATGCACCTTTTTCCTGCTACAGCCTGCACGCCTAGATCTGTAGATGGGTAATACAGGATGCGGATCTATGCGGATGCAGATCTCTGGCAAATCCTTATGGATACTGTTCACTACGTCTGCGTGCAAACCGCCCAAATAGGTAAGGATGTCCCCCGTACCTATGTGCTCAGCTACAGTGAGACTCGGGGCCTCCTAAGACCCGGAAAAGAGAGTGGATCATGGCATGCATGACGTCCTGCCCAACTGAGTTAAGCGAGACAAATTATCGGTAGTACCTGAGTAGATGATCTTGCTTGTCTAGAAATGGACAGGCTCGATGAGGCTTGAGGCTTATTTGCAATACCTTCTGCATATATTTCAAATTCCTCAGGGCGTGCGGCTGGTTGGGCGGCGACGGCCAATCTGCAGATAGAAGATCCAGGCCATGCAAGGCTACGGCTTAGCGGCATTTGATCGATCCACGAACCCCTATTGTTGTACTGGGTACCAACCATGGATACTCGATGCTTGGTAGAACACTCTTCTTGACGGTATCACATCGCAGACTTGCCTTCAAACTACCGGAGAATGCAAGGTCGAATGCGTCCTTGGAGCTTAGAACAACCAACAAAGCAGTGGCCGAAGCGGGATGGATCAGGGATCGATCTGGAATGCTCAGATCCGTTCCAATTCTTCCCTAGCCGTTCACGCATTGAATACTACCGTAGTCTATTGTCTATAGTTCCATATAGACCCTATATTCAACTATTATGTTCCTCATCTATTGTTGAAGGCATGCGTTCATTAATATCTATGTATACCTGTCCTTTGTCTTTTATTAGTACTCACCTGAGCAGTTATTTGTACAAGTAATCATCATCATCTCATAGCTAAACTGCAGGAAAGGAGATTTAGGAAGCTAAACCCGAAAAGGTAATTCCTCGCTTCTCTACTAATGTAAGCAATTATTCAGCATTCTCCACCGTATCTCCGCTCATCTATGATCGATGGTTGGTCGGAAGTATTGACCGGCATAGCTAGCATCAAGACATGCGTACTGTCCAGATCATGCAGAAAGAATGTCCCAGTGGTCCGCAGATATTTCCAAGTAAACGGAAGGTTTTTGGGAAAACCTTTATTCTAGGAGATTAATGTGCGGGTGCAAACATGGCTCGTCCGAATATCAGCATGTACCTTTCTTCCATATAAGGAAAGGTGGTAAAGAAGGTAATGCCTGCCCGTCTAAGGTAAGATACTGGCATTTCCTGGCATAGATACCCCGTAACTTTCGTATGGCTTTAGGATCATGTACATAGGATATCGATTCTCAGTAAGGCTCTTATGCAGGGGATACATGACAGTTGTCATTTCTTATAATTATCATTGTTCTTGTTATATTTTCTGTGTAGGTCCGAGTATTTATCAGTATCAAATGTGCGTTGGAATCGAAAAGTTCAACAATTGTACTCTGTAGTTGCAGCCAGGCTTTGATAGAGCAGTCATTGGGCCAGCTTTCAGAGTTTTGACATGGCGTAGTGGAGCAGTCTGCCCTTGCATACCGTTGTAGACGTACAAGGGTGAATTTACGTTCCTTGTTCAGAGGTGTGTTATTGAGTTGTTAATCTGGACATCCTATCTAGAAGATGCGCAGTCATAATGGCGTGAAGCTGACTGGGGAAATTGGACCTAACAGAATTTGGTGATGTCGGTGTTGTCGACGAAAGCTGGATATGTTTACAGAGGGTACGCGCTAAGTCTTATGAAAAGTTCTTGTTCTTGCAGATATATATCATGTCCGATACGTTCTATTTACAACAGTAGCTACAACATTAGCAGCACCCAAACTTATCACGGCATTGCATCTCCGCTACAACCAGAGAGATGCTTTGTGATGCTCAAGGCACATGATGGCTGTAATCATCGCCCATACGCATCAGCCTTGGAGTTGATATAGTCAATCCCCTTCTTCCGCCATGTGTCGGGCTCCATGTGGCTCGTCACGTTGGCATCGAAGAGCACGTCGACGGGGTTTCTTCTGCCGTACGGATCCCAGTGCACCGGCGAGTTCTGGATACCCGAGTTTGGATCCAAGTCGTGGATGAATGAAGCCCACATACTCGTCATCAGCTTGCTGAGCTGCTTGTACGACTCAGGCGTGCCGTCGAACGGTTTACCACTATGATAGCCAAGTCCCTCGATGTTGTTGAAAACAAACGCCACCTCCTCAAAGTGGGTGGCTCCCATGAGTAGAGGAACGTCTGCTGCGTGGACATTGAATCGGTAGCAGTACGCCGGCGTTGATGTCTCTGTCCACGCTTCACATTGTCGGCGGCGGTTGGCGTGCATCATCATATCCCCTGCGTAGGCAGATGTACGTCGCCATTGGTAGCCCATGGATGGCACACGTTCGGATCCGAGATACTCAGGGATACCTTGGGACGGGTCGTCAGGATAGAGCCGTAGGAGTTGCTTTGCTACTGGAGCGGGGAGCTTGATTGACCCTCCATATTTGGCATCTATCTTGACCGTCAGCCTGGTCTCCAGCGATAAACACGAAAAGCGCTCCAACAAACCTGTGAGGTACTCGTAGAATTGCTCCGTGGTATTGATCCCAGAGGGACCAAACGCTGACCCCTCGTCCGTGTTCGTACCAGCAATGATGGGGACTTTGACATATTTGTGTTCCTTCAAGAGGACACTGCCGCGATTCGGGATGAAATCTCCGTCAACCACAGGTGCAAATCTATAGTTCGGTAAGCCGCCAGTGCCGTTGAGAGCAGCATTCAACGTCTCAAATGGCACTTCATGCAGACATTGCAGCGTATCTTCAGCGTTTGAGCACTGGACTTTCGATACAAGATCATCGTACAAGCCTTGGAACACTGTGTAGCTGGCTGGACTGACGGATATTGAACCACCAGATTCCATAATAGCTCCGCGGAAGAGACCATCATCTCTGCCGTCGTATGCTGTGAGATGATAGCCAACAGACATTCCTCCAGCGGACTCCCCCCAGATGGTGACTTTGGTCGGGTCACCTCCGAACGCCGCAATATTCTCTTGGATCCATTGAAGCGCCAGTCTTTGGTCTCTGAGCCCGATATTAGTGTTCCCACTGTCAACGACCTCCTGAGAACTCAAGAAGCCCCATGCAGAGAGACGGTAGTTGAGCGACACGGCGATGAAGGGTTTACCTTAACTCGTAAGCATCTTGAAAGATTGCCTTATTTGTGCCTGGACATATGGCTTACCAATCTCATACGAGTTTGCAACGATAGCAGACATGTTGTAGCGCTGGTCAGAGCCTGAACCCATGTAGAATCCACCCCCGTGGATCCAGACACCAACAGGCAGCTTCGAGTTCTCATCGACCGACGAACCGCGGATGACGTTTAGGGTGAGACAAGCTTCAGACATCGGATACCAGATGGAGTCCGACTACTTCTAATCAGCTTGCCTAACTTCTCTGCCAAAGAGTGAGGAGTTGACTTACGCCGTATCCAACACAGATATCCGAGTACTCCTTTGCATCGCGCTCCCCGTCCCAGCTCTCATTCAAGGATTGGGGAACTTTGAATCGCAAATTTCCCACAGGCTGCTGGGCATACGGCATGCCTAAAAAGAAATCTTGCTGGTAATTCGCATTTCTCACCCCAACGTAGGTACCATTTCGGACATGGACCTTGGGATTGGAGACGCTGCTCGGTGCAGCATTCCCCACAGCCCAGAGGGCAAAGAAGGAAGCAGCCAGAAGTTTCATTCTGAAGGCTCAAAACTCGCTATTTGGGACTTGCACCATTTCCTCCCCCGCGGAAGATTCGGCTTCATTGTCTTATATAGGCTGGTACCCATTGTAGTGGCGCAAAGAAAAAAGCGCGAAAGACGCTACCGCTTCTTGCAAAGCTGGATTTTCGGTGATTGTTGATCTTCATGCCGTGCCTCGATTCCGTCAGTAGGCCGTCAGTAGGCTCCCATACATACTCTGCATAACAACGAGTCATGGAATTTGCGGGGTTCTGAAGAGTGTGGGGATCCCACAAATCCACCCCGGCCCTTCTGCCTAGAAGAGCAAAGATCATCATCTCCATTGCGGAGAATATGACCTCGTGGGGGCAAAATTGGGCCTAGGAAACGAGAAATAGACTAAGTCATGATGCTCAGGCTATTGCACGCGGCTCGGCAATGTGCCGAAGAATAGCCGTTGCTCCCACGCTCAAGACATGAGAAATGGGGATGTAAGACATCGCAAGCCGAGAACTATTGCCGGACAAGAGTATTCATGGATTATTAAGCTCTGACAAAAGTTTACTGAATAGTTACGAGTCAGGGAGGTTGTCATCAGGTGGAGTCGTCGGCCTCAGAACCATTAGAAGTTAAGAATATGAAGTGGAGTAAAGGTGACCGGTAACATATGGTCTCGGGGGATGGCCATCTMACTGATGACAGCGGTGTTGATACGATGATAGAGAGTAATGTAGATGGGTGCAAGACAGCAGGAGTCTTCCAAGAAGAAAAAAGCAAGAAATGGCTGGCTGCACCCTAACCATAGACCACAGGTGCCGACGGAGTAGGGGGAAGCCAAGCCAACGACAAGACTCTAGTCTTGCTCCAGCTCAATACACTTATCTTGCTGGCAGCGAAAACCTCGACTGGCACTCCCAGGAGCACTGAAGCGAAGGTTCTATACGGGATGCAATCATTATTCTGTATTGTCGTACAAGGAGTCAATGAATCCTTCCGCGCATCTTACTCTGCAGGTTACATTTTTCGATGTGTCCAGTTCCAAATCTGGTCGTCTAGGACGGAAAGTATCCGACATAAGGTCTATATGGCAACGAACGCTGGCTAACATGGCCAAGAAGCTGAGCACTCCTCCTGGAGGCTGTCGGGGAATGCAACGCAATCATCGTGCTCGTGTTGCCTCCTGGTCTTGACCAGGTTACACAGTCTGAGGCAACCTTTCAAGCCGCATTCAATCTTCATGTGCCTCTGCCGTTCGGCGGTTAAACGGGTCACACTTGTCAGACGGTAAAAACTTGATGCAGCTTGCAGTGTAACGGTGACACATCCAACGCGTTCTGTAAACGTCTTTCCAATGCGGTGGTGACGAGATCTGTCAGCGCCATGTTCGTGGATTGCGACGGATGCTCTAGCGTGTGACAATCCTTCTCGAAGAGAGATACCTCGATCAAACATGTGTCGACTGCTCCCTCAAGCATAAACAGCAGGATCAATCTAGCTCTGCACTTCCAAGATATAGACCCTCTCAACGGGAACCTGCATGTGAAATGGCTGATGGAACAGCTACGGGGATGTCGACCTTCGATCAAATGAAGGACTTCCCCCGGAACCGGCAGCTTTTTGCCATTCACTGGCACAGAAGCACACAGCGCAAGCGAAAAAAAAAGCTCTTTTTATTTCTGCAACCGCACCTCCAATCAACTCCACAAGTCCACAATGTGCTGGGCACTATCAAACCCACCTCAGCGACAATCGGATGTCTCAATCCCAACCACCTGCAATCTGACAGAGGAGGTCGACGCAATCATCGCAGTGACAAAGGGTTTCCTCTCCGCCTTGGAAACAAAGTCTCGCGATGACTTCGACAAGTACTGCGTCAAGGCAGGAGGAATGGCGCTCTGGCCACCGCCGCCCAGCGTGCCACGATTTTGCACGATTGGCGCCTTTGTCGAGCACATTTCCAAGATCAAGGACGACATCGACGAGCGCATCTGGGACCCTGAAGTGAAGGTGCACGAGTCGGCGAATCTAGCGGCTGTGTGGGCCCCGTTCAGGGCGAAGATCAATGGGGTTGTGGACCATGTGGGTGTCGAACTGTTCGTCCTCCATAGGATTAATGGGGAATGGAAGGTGACTGGTCTGGCTGATTCGTGTCGACGGCCAACGGAGGATGAGAAAACTGCACTGGCCTGAGATCAGTTTGGCTCCACACATGATCGGTTTCGAGGAACGAAATGCTCGGATGCTTGTAAGCAATTCTGCAGAGAAAGTCCAGGACTAAAAGTGCAAGGGGGAGAACTGGAAATGGTCTGGATATCAAAGACGGTTTTGCATAAGTCTTGTACTGGGACACCAAGTAACGCAAGAGAATGCTATCTATAGCTGAATGATATTATCCACCCAATGCCAGGTCTGTGAAACAAATCTCATCACTAGATGATGCAAATGCTTTCAATCTTATTGGCCCCTGAGTAATTGCCACCCGACACTCCCATCCCTGCCTTCCTTTACGGTCATCTCTTCCACAGCTTTCACAAGGTCGTAGCAGATCTCTGAAGACACCACGCTATCCTGCTTATACGAAGGATGAGAGGCAACGAACTCACGAATCCACCGGGCCCCTGTCCAGATAGTTCCGTTTGCTCGTTTCCTGATGAAGTCAAGGTAGGTAGCTAAGGAACACCGAGTCTCCACGTCCACATTAACGCTATTCAAGTACGATTCAACGAGTGGAATGAGCCCCGGAAATGATCCATCAGCAGAGCCATTGACAATGTCATCAATGGTCATAAGGTCGTATTCCAAATCCACTGGTCCAAGTGGAGGTGACGGAGGGGGTGTATTGTAGGCAGAAGAAGTGGCCGATGAGGCCTCGCTGGCGCTGGTCGAACGATGACTTGGTCTGGGAGCACGGCGGGAGAAAGGATCTTTGCGGAAATAGAACTTCCGGTCCAGCACAGCATTGCGCGCATGAGCTGTCTCCATGTTCTCGGCGGTTCGCTGAATCGGTATGTAGAAGTTAAGGTCGAAGCTGAGAATGGCACGAGTGACGAGAACAATAAAGATACTGAAAGCCGCATTCTCAAAGTCCGTCATTTGAATCTCCATTGAACGGAATTCGACACGCCAGCCAATGTCAGCCTTGTCCGGTGGTGGCGGCTTGAAGCGCATGTGCTGCCAGTTAGTAGACTGCAAGTTCTCAAAGTGGTCGGCCTTGTTCAAATCCAGCTCGTCCAGATCCTCTGAGAAGATGACCAAGGGGTCACGGATGAAAAGGTGGGCAAAATGCGTCGCCAACAAATCATCCATGCCACCCTCAATAAGTCGTTTCTTGATGTCTTCATCCACGATCAGTTCAGGATCCAGGTACTCCTTGCGCAGCCTGGGGTCCTGGGAGATGTAGGTGGAGTTGGATGCGTATCGAGACTTAGGGATCCTCCATCTATCATTCTTCAGAGGCTGGTATCTTTGTTAATTTCCATTGCGTCGAAAGGAAGGGGATGCAAGATTCCTTACAAGTTCGCCAAGCTCTTCCCGCGTCCTATCGTCAACAGCATTCCCGATTTGATTCCACCGAACGTCAGTATCGACGAGGAATCCCTTGTATATTGGTGTTGCAGCCGTAAGAGCCAGTAGAATGGGTCCCAGCGGGCTAAGCTGGTCATACAGTTTTCTCCCTTCCGTTATATTTTTTGCTTGAAATGTGATCTGAAGACAGCAACTGCCCATTCCAAACGCCATCGCATCCATATAGACATGGCCTTCCTTTGCTGCTCCATTTCGAACATCATCATCCTCAGGCCAATTGTGAAGATCATAGTTAACGGTGGGGTCCTTGAAAGGCACTGGGGTGTTCTTGTCCACGAATACTGGCACATTCAACTCGACCTTCCGGCCCCTTCTCGATCTGATATTTGCTGCCAATGTTGGGAATCTGATATGCGGATTAGCAATTTCATCGGGGACAAACTGCGAGCGCAGTGCTGGGCCAGATGGAGGATAGTAAGGCTGAATGTAATCATCCTTCGTTCCTAGACGAGGAAACGTGGTAAGTGTGATGGGGACCTCATTTGGCGCCATGTGAGACTGCGCAATCTCCCGCCTGAACCGTACAGTTAGTGACCGTAAATACATCTTGATGGCAATAGCAAACGCACCTCCATTTCATATTCGATTCCACTTTCAAAAGATCCTTGAAGTCGATACCCCACGGCCTCCCCGGAGTAGCCTCTAGCATAAAGCGGCCGAACTCGGGATGGAAATGAGGAGGTTCTTCGCCCTCACTAAGTTGCTGGGTATTAGGCAGATCCGATAATAAGGCACATGACCGAAATAGCTTACTGTTCTTTACCATGTGCCGGACCAGAGCGCTTCTCCTTCCACAATGCCTCGTCTCTGGCCAAGGATTTGAGAATCTCAGCTTGAGCCAGAGACAATCGCGCCTTTTTAGCCTCGTCATCGACAGCTACCACAAGGTACTCGACCTGATTCCGTGTGAGCCATTAGGCCAGAAAGAGCAATCAACTCGACGGAAGAGCAATCTACCTCGTCACCCCAGAGCAGGGCATCACGTTCTTTCCCTTTGGCTCTATTCCAGATAGCCAGTAATTGCTGTCCGTTATGTCAGTAACAGCCCCGGCATCCCATGTCGCAAGGACAGAGAACATTGACTTCAAGGGTCTGACCTCGATTCCCCATTTCCGTACTTGATCGGAACGTTTCTTGGCCTCCTCCCACTCAAGTGCTGTTCCAAGTGCTCTTAAGCTAACATTAGCACCAGATTATGCGCATCGTCACTCTTGACATACAGTAAACCCATCGTATCATGAAAGACCCAACCAAAGCGGTCAAGCTGAGGACAAATCCGAGAACCCGACAGAGGAGGCGGAAATCCCTGGCAGTCTAGACCTCGAATGAAGGCGGGCCCAGCGAGTAAGGTACAACCAATGTCCGTGGCAAGTGATGCAAAGTATCTAAGGTACGCAGTAACAGGAGAAGAAGAAGTGAGATTATCTGATCATCACAGAAGTGATAGTTGGACTTTATCTGCTTTTTCGTGCCGAAGCTTCGGTGGCCGGGATCAATCGCCTATTGGCGTAAACCTTTCCACTGGCATAGTAGTGCGGGAGGATTTTTCGTTCCCGCGGGGCAGCAGAAATCGGAATAGTCACTTAGGTAAAAACCATATTGTTGCTGATAAGGCGGCGGAAACTGCGCGAAGAAGATTTATAAGCAACCTGGAAATGTTCCAAAGCGCGGAGATATCGGGATCATGTGATTACGTCTGTGGTACGTAACAGGGCTTATTTTTCGAAGCAAACAACTAGGACATACACGGTTTTGTAGCTTACTATCGACCGTCAATGAGTTGTTGAAGACATCTGAACTTCGCGATGATGCAGATGCGATTTAGGTAGCCTGCCATGGATGATAAGTTGTCTATATGGCCTTGCTCTAATGCAACTTCGGAATTGACATCCAGGCAGAGCTGAAAACTGACTTCTTCTTTATGCTACTCGAAGAAAGACTGTTTACTGGGAGGGTGAGGCTGTCCTCGCCGAATGGTATGACACATCGAGACTGCCCCGAGATCAGCGCAACCATGAGCCGCTCGGAAATGGCCATATTTCGAACAGAACTCCTGGCACAACAGGAGGATAGACAGGAAGCGGGGACGGATGCATATACGAGAGCACCAAGAGCTAGTTCTGCTGGAAAGCAGATTTGCTGACAAATACCAAGGGCCAACAGCACCAGCCACCTTTTGGAGTTGACTGACCAACTCAACATCGTGTAAAGGTATGTAGTCCCTGCAGAAAGCGCCTCCATGGATCAACCGGGCTTAGGTGGTCATTGGCATAGTCTCGGCAACTTTATTGCGAAGAAAGATCCCAACGCCAGTCAGTGCATGGACAAATAGCCTCATAATCTTTATTATGTACATAGTCGGTTCCTCCGTTCATTTCGAGTGCACAGTTGGTCTCTGACAAATCAGTTGCTCCGGGCACCATTCTTCGCGGCTCGCAGCTCATCCATCTTGGCGACGCGCTTCTTGAATTCCTCGTATTGGCACTTCTCGTAGCTGTGTCTCTCATCCTGTAGCAGAGGTTCAAGGGTTAGTTGCTGCCGGAAAGCCCTAAATCAAGTACTGGGACGCAAAGCACAGTTGTAATACCTCGCATTTCCAAGGAAGGTAGTACTCCTGCTGTCGGCAACGGTTCAATGGGATCAGAAGGTGCGCACAGGAGTCTCGGTACGGAAGGGGAAGACGAGCATCGGACATTTCTTGACGGGAAGCGACTATCTCAATGAGTTAGCAGTCATTGCAGATATCAATGCTTCGGCGTCCGATTTCAGGATTCGAATGCCAATGGCACCAAAACATACCAGTGTTATCCCCAAGCCCAACGGCGCTCTTCACTGACTCCACGACAGTCATTTTGATGGACAAAAGTAATGCAGGATATCGTGTGGTTGAAGGATAAGCGACCGAGCAGCGATGTTTGCACCTCTCTTGCTGGCATCCATTGCTGTTCCTTCGTTTCCGCGATACGGTCAGGTGATACCACGTGATATACACACCGCAATGGGACTAGCGCATCTCCGAACCACTTTACGCGGTTCTTTCCTCCCAAGCGCGTCTTCGCTAGCCAGCCTTCAAAGCATCGCGTCTCTGGGATGTCACTGACTGTTCAACGAGCCACTGGTGGCTAATACTTCGTTTTTTCGTCTACAAAGCTGTTGTTTCATAATCTATTGGCATCTTATATTGTCGGATGCTCTTTAATGCCCCAAAATAGATTAATCTAGGCTTCGCGATTGGCCATCAGAGGCCGTCAAGCCGCGTCAAACCATCTGCTGTTAACAGTTCGGGAACATACTGATTGCATCACAACGGTTTGCGGAGACGGGCATTATGGCGGCGGTGGATTTCTCAAATATCTATTCTGCTACATACAGCAGCGTGAGTTTTACTAATTGCGTTTCTCTATCTTTCCCTACAGTCTCGATTTTTGTCCCTTTCCTCTTTTCATCCAACTTACCCCTTCCTTCGCCGCGCAGCCAATCTAACACGGTTCAATAGGTTCCAGTATACGAGTTCAAAATCAATGGCGAAAGTGTTATGCGCCGACGAGGCGATAATTGGATCAATGCCACACATATTCTCAAAGTAGCTGGTTTTGACAAACCGGCGAGAACCCGGATTCTCGAGCGTGAAGTCCAGAAAGGGACCCATGAGAAGGTTCAGGGTGGTTATGGCAAATACCAGGGTAGGATATCCTACATGGTCAAGTGCTGGCGTTTGTCATTCGGCTAATATTATGGATAGGAACATGGATCCCACTTCCCGAGGGTCGTTCACTCGCCGAGCGCAATAACATCATTGACGGGTTAAGGCCGATTTTCGACTATGTAGCAGGGGATCACACTCCCCCACCCGCACCGAAACATACTTCCGCCGCCTCATCGAAACCAAGAGCCTCCAAAAAGAAAGCTGTGAATGAGCAGGTATTCAGTGCTGCCAAGCCCATTCGCAACATGGGACCACCGAGCTTCCCGCACGAACAATTCGAGATCAACCCCGGTTATGACGATAACGAATCGATTGGGCAGGCGACACTCGAGTCATCGTCCATGGTGGCAGATGAAGAGATGATGCCTATGTCGCAACATGGTTCTTATTCTCGAAAGCGCAAGCGTGAAATGAATGAAGTCACTGCCATGTCGATTAGTGAGCAGGAGCACATACTCTATGGTGATCAGCTGTTGGATTACTTTATGACAGTTGGAGACGCGCCCGAAGCAACACGGATTCCGCCTCCGCAACCTCCAGCCAATTTTCAAGTGGATCGTCCAATTGACGATTCAGGCAATACCGCTCTTCATTGGGCCTGTGCAATGGGGGATTTGGAAATTGTGAAAGATCTATTGCGAAGAGGCGCAAATATCAAGGCACTATCAGTCCATGAAGAAACGCCTCTGGTACGCGCTGTCTTATTTACGAATAATTATGAGAAGAGGACATTTCCGACACTTCTGGACCTACTTCTTGACACTGTCTCGTTCAGGGACTGGTTCGGCGCCACCATTTTCCATCACATATCGGAAACTACCAGGAGTAAAGGGAAATGGAAGAGCTCCCGATATTACTGTGAAGTCCTGTTGGAGAAGTTGCACAATACCTGCTCGCAAGACGAAATTGACCTGCTACTCTCCTGCCAAGACTCAAATGGGGATACAGCCGCTCTAGTTGCAGCTCGAAATGGCGCATTTCGCTTGGTCAATCTGCTTCTGGGGCACTGCCCGCGAGCTGGAGATCTGGTCAATAAGAAAGGAGAAACGGCCACAAGCATTGCCCAGAGAGCGCATCCCCCCGAGCGCGATATTCCTCCCCCGCCATCTTCAATAACAATGGGGATTGATCACACAGAAGGCGATCTCACTCTCCTGGAAAACCCGGACCAAACCGTTGCTCTTCCGTCCGAAGCTTCCCCTGCCACCTCGGCCTTACTTGCCAAGATTAGTGCCATCATCGCCGAAACTAATAAGAAGCTCGCGACTTGTTACGGGCGTACAAAGTCTAATGAACCAGACTCAGATGACGTCGCGAATCCCGAAGCTTTGTACGAGCAGTTGGAGCTGGATCGGCAGAAGATCCAGAAGCAGACTGCCGCCTTGGAAGCCAAAGAGAGCGAAGGAGAGCCGGTTGAGGCACAGATTGAACGATATGAGCGACTCAGAAGCACTTATGAATCTCTTTTGGAACAAATTCAACGAGTTCGCCTGAAAGAGCGACTAACATCAATGCCTCCACCGGCAAAAGAGAACATGATGCCCTCCTCGAGTGAACAGAACCAATTATTAATCACTTACCAACTGGCGCGACAACTATGCTCCCTACAGAAAGCGCGCCGTGCAGCTGTCAGGGATCTAGCCCAGCAGACCGCCGATGCGGGAGTAAGCACTAAATTCGACGTGCATCGAAGGCTCGTCGCTCTTGCAACGGGCCTAAAGGAGGAAGAGTTAGACCCCATGGCTGCGGAGTTGGCTGAGACGTTGGAGTTTGACCGAATGAATGGAAGGGGGCCGGGCGGCGAATCACCTGAGCCAGTGCAAAAGCGTTTCCCTTCTCAAAAGGAACCATCGTCGCTCCCGTTCTCTGGTCCAACAGTATCTGTGGACGCCTGAACGGGATGGCTTGGCTGAGAAGCATGTCCATATTCGTCACCCCAATCGTACAAGGTTGTACGCCCTTCTGATTTAGTCCCATTCCGAAGCGGGGGACCTCCTACCTCTTCATACCCATTTCTTCTCTGCTTGTCCCTGCATTATCTCATGATTTGCGATTCTCATTGCACTCCTGGCGGGACAGAATGATGCGACGTCCGGCCAGCAGATACCCAAGCTCAATTTGGTATGTTTTTGAATGAATGTTGTGTTCCCAATTCCTGAGTGGATCCTTTGAGAACTTGTCTTGTTCGACTATTGCATGTTGATCTCTCATCCGTGGTGACCACGGCTGATAATAATCGCTTGACACCGGTTCTGCAGTGAATGAAGAGATTGTACATAGTAACGGATCAAATTATGCTGAACAGCAACGGATGCTCGTCGAGGATAGCGAATTTCAAGCAGAAGGTAGAAGTTGTAACAGACTGTCTTAGTGTGACATCATGATCGATCTTAGCTGGCGATCACTGCATGCAAGGGAGAAAAGCATAGAGCCTCCGCCTGTGGCAGTGTTAAGTATCTCGCTATCGAAATCAGAGCTAAGTCGTCGAACGTGGCAATGACCGTTAAGAAATACCATGTACAGGTCTTCTGTCAAGTCATGCCATCATGAGAATTCTGCTAATTCTGTGCTTACTCTTCAACACAAAAATATCAGGACGTGCTGGACAGGCAGAAATGTTGGATAGTAGCCATCCCCGCACCCCAATCCAAATATCCAGCTAAGAGTCACAACATAGGTACTTAGGGAGACTCATTAAGAGTGAACAGCCAACAAACTCCAATCCGGCAGTCCTATAGGCTCAAGAGCATCATATGCGGGCAGCACATCGCACATCCTGCACGCGATCCAGCACCGCCTGACAGGCCAGTCAGAGAGGCGGACGGGGGCGGTTCCTGGGCGAATCTTGCAGCAGAAGCGGTTGGCTGGCTACGAGCAAGGCCACGTTGAAGACGCTAGACTGGGATCATTCAAATGGAGCGCGAAGACCTGGACCAATCATGGTTGCCGTTTGATAGAGAGGAGATTAGTACTCCATATCTGCGTTGTCTCGTGTTGTGGGATTATTGCTAGGTATGACAGAGACACATGCTTGATAAACTCTATGTGCGTTATTAAGTCATGTATTGTGTTAACGACAATGGATAGATAAATGGAGCAGTTTAAAAGAGACCAAAAGGACTGTGGTTGTTGGCCTTATTCAGCAGGCTTCAATCTGACTCGATACTTTCCTTACCTACCTACCTTAGCTACCTTAGTCCCCTTTCACTGTTATTTTCTGGATCAACCAATCAGTAATGTCTCCTCATACTTTGTTCTCCGTAGACTAACTGTGTTTGGCTAGAGTTTCTGCCAAGCGAGCCACTCAGCGCATGCATCTGACACTGCAACCACTGACTTGTCTCAACCCATCATCTCCCGCCCGACTCTCTGGAAATAATAATAAAATTCACTTTTCTTTAAGATTGCCTGGAACAACGCCTTTCAGGGACCTCCTCCTTTCCTCTTCATCTCTACACTTTCTTTCTTCACTCCTCCTGTTCATCATCTCCTCCTCCTCTTCCTCCCCATACATCTCCATCTTCTCCATACATCCATTAGCCTAATCCATCTTCTCTTCTTCCCCCCTTTTCTTCTTCTTCTTCTTCTTCTTCTTCCGCAGCTTCTCTCTTCTGATTGATACTTCTTTGATTCTCGCCGTTTTGCATTAAGATTATCTTGTTCCCCAAATCACAATTGGCTCCCTTCCTCTGTCTCCATCGAGCTTTGGCTGCTGAACCCCGTCCCAGGGAAAAGGCGGGCGGAAAAAGAAACGAGAAAACCAAAGCAGGTGACTGGCGCGTATCAGGCCGATACCCGAACACTGACACCTTGCGGAGTCCATCTCGCCCCAACGCCCATTTCTGCCACCGCACCGTCGTTCTTCTTCCTCCCTATTCTTCCTTCCCCCTCACGGCTGAGAGACAGACCCTATTCTTTTTTTTCTTGTGCGGGATACCAGGACAAATAATAAAATCGTTTAATAGAGGGGGAAAAACAAAAAAGTTTTACTTTTCTTTTTTGAAGGGAATTCTCCGCTTCGCGTCGACTTTTCTTCTCTTGTTCCTCTTCTCTAGCCATCGCTTGGGTCAGAGCTTCTTTCCGCGTCAAGCGTCCTTCAACACTGCTGGAGTTGCAGAGCACACTCCACGCGTTCATATTATCTTTCTTTCAGATCGGCAACTACTTGCTGGATTCTTCTTGGACGACATTATTGACTAACCTCTAATTGTCGTGTCTCTCACTGTCGGATCGCATCTGTCGTCGCCGCCATTCACTTTAATGTTCTGAGCTAAGGCTTCACTTGTGACACATTGAGCTGCTCATTCGTTTTACGTTTGAGTATCATCTGATTGCTGTCCTCGTTGGATCTATTATCACTACTGGTCAGTTGTCTTGGGTTGGTAGGTAATTTGCTCATGCTAACACATTATAGGTCCTGTCTACTGGCTCTTTTCCGATCAAAATCAAAATCACCAGCAACTTCCTCACACTCCGTCAATCTTTCCGAGGAATTCAGCAGTGTTGCCTGATTATCTCCATCTTGTGTGCCGTCGACATCATCCTAATAACGTAATTCCTCGAACGAAGCCATTTGTTAATTCACCGATCCACCTCCTGCCATTCGCGGCGTGTTGATACTACTCTTTTATTATCTCGTGCACATATTGTCTATATCCCATTTACACGAAACCTTGAGTATGGACGCTGGCGGTCTTGCTCAAATGACTTGCAATTCGGCATTCGGTAACGGCAACAGTCTCGGAGCTCCTGGTTCCGGGTTTGCTTCTCGGAGAAAAGGCTCCAACATCAAACGTTTGAACGTGCCTCCTCCACATATTTCTACCATCGATGAGTCCCAGCCTGCGGCGCCGGTTCCTCCTACCCCGCGTACTAGCCGGTCGCATCTTTTGGCGGGTCTGAGAACTGCTCCCAAATCTGCGACCCTGCCGTCCGCATCACAACGTCAGCAGCATCTTGGCCTGGAAACAGGACGATATGGAGCCCATACCAGTGGCGCAGCTGATCGTGTTCCGCAGACTGCGACGGGAGCTGGCTTTCCCCGGCGTTCGTTTGCCGCCAATCAACATTTGGACATAGGAACTGGGCGGCCGATGTACACTCTACCGGAACAGGTGCTTGCACCGCCGACCATCGACATCGCGGGTGATATGCCGATGGACGAGAACCTTTACGCGGAACTGATGTCGACGAATCTCTTCCTGGCTGCCCAGCAGCAGCGCTTGCAGCAGCAGTTGATCAGCGTCACCGCTGCAGCACAGCAGTTTCAGGGCCTCAACCTTGGAGTGTCCATGGGACAAGTCCCTGAAATGCCCTCTCTTTCCGTTCCCGCTATGGGCTTCTACCAGCAGCAGCTCCAGCAGGGCGTTCAGCCTGTTGTGCAGCCTATCCCTGGTCAACCGGGGCTATTTTCTGTTTATAATCCTCTAACTGGCCAGCACAATTATGTTTACGACAACAGCTATATGCAAGAGAATACTTCCTCGCCCTACCGGGAAGAGGAGCATCAATCACCCGTTATGCAGACTCCGGCTTTCTATGCTGAGGTGTCTCCGCCTTCGGAATCAGTGCAGTCTCCCTTGGAAAGGCAGCAGACAGTCTCGCCCCCGAGAACCAGCCCATCACCTCCTAAAGAGGTCACTCCTCTTCCACCCCCATCCGCCAACGCGTTCCGCCGGGGTCACAAGAAGAGTTCGTCCGTCAACCCAGCAGCAGGAGCCACGATTGACACTGCTCGGGCCAATAACGCTGCGGTCAACTCTACTGCTCTCAAGTCGGCTGTCTTCCCTTCCACACCGGCTACAGGCACCTTCGGGCCCGGTCAAAACCGCGCTGGAGAGCATCCCGTTCGTCAACCCCGTAATCCTCCGTCCCTGGAAGAGCTCGTCGCCAAGCCGACCTCCAAGCACGAGGGGAGCAAGAACTTTGCCACTCGCCAGCGCCGACGTGCCATTCATAGCCTTGTGCGTGCGGGTATTGAACGACGCGGGGAGACCCGGAGCTTTGGATATACCAGCAGTGGTGGCACCAACACTCCGGCTAGTGAAAAGGACTTTGCATTCTCCGATGGCGACGATGCTACTGTTCGCAGTGGCAGCCTTTCGAGCAAGCCTAGCCTGGGCAGTTTGCGCGCTGTTGCCAACGGTGCCATTGGCTCTGAGCGCAAGGAGCGATCCTCACGGGAACGCAAGTCCCAGGACAGCCCTTATAACACGACTACCCCTGTCAGCGAAGACGGCAGTTTCTTCGGGGGCAAGTTTGCGGATCTCCGGGCGGAGCAAGTTTCATCTCCCCCAAGCGGCCCACCCTCTGTGGCTGCTGTCGTCGCAGGTCAGAAGACGGCAGCTCAGGCTCCTGAAAGGCGCAAGACGCCGATGCTCGTGCTTTCCAGCGCCGAAAAGCGCAAGACCTTGTTCATGTAATGTGGACGTCGTACATAATGTGACTTGAGACGTAACGGACTTGCCCCACTTCGAATGTCTTTCTTTTTGTCAGCTTGGTCTTCTTACCGTTGCTGTGGCCCAGGCTAATCTGGAATACCAACCGTCTTGAGGCGGTGTTTTGATTATTATGATATTGGTGCCTTCGTTTCCTTGACTTGTCACAATGTTTGGAACGCCATGGACACCCAACCAACCGACACTTGTTCAGTTGAATGATACATCAAGTCGGAGATGAATGACTCTCTTTCTCACTACCGTTTTGCGCCTTCTTTTTCATTCTTTTAATTATTCGAAGAGATTGACGAACACATGGAACAAGCATGCAGGGACATTCTTCTTTGGACTGAGACTCTGCTTGGCTTGACGTTTCATGTATCTCTCATTACCTGTATGTACATCTGGCTATGTGCATATCGATTCCATAGTAATGGACCAAGTATTCGTACAGACATATTGCCCTTAACGAGCATTCCACACCCCTTGGTCCTAGACTAGGGACGTAGCATAGCAGCCTTTAAACTGGAAACAGAAGGAAAACCTTTATATCAGATTATTGATTGATCGCTATGTCGACATTGACTGCGCATTATCGATCGTGACTCATGAGCATCATCAGGAAGAATAACTCGTGTCTCTTCAGAAATAGTAAGTATATGATCAGCAATCATGACCACGACTTACGCTTTTTGTTTCTTGCATATGATCAAATTGAATCAAATCAAATCGCCAACGGACATACTCGCTACCAACCGACTAACAATAATAACAAGAAAGAACAAAAGCCGCCGTGAATACCGTGTTCTCGCCATCAATCAATCAAATCGATACCAATCCAGTACAGTCCGAAAAAGAAACACAATAGTACAAATGTTAGGGATATCCATCGAACCAAATCAAATCAAATCAAGCTGAGACGAACGGCAAGACAGGATGGGGTAGAAAGGCACCGCTAATAAACAGATGAGATGAAAATGAGACCCGAGACCCGAGACGAATGCGAATGGTGTATGTATGCGACGTATGCGAGGGGGTGCTTTTGGGGACAAGATGCGAGAGGTGCAGGAGGTGAGCATGGTTTGGATGAGGCGAAGCTAGAAACTGAACAGGCCGCTCCGTTTCTTGCCGAGCGGGTAGACGACCAGCGCGGCGAGGAAGAGGCCTACTGTGAACCCGATGGCGACCTGGACCATACCGTAGCCGATGTCGAAGACAACGCCGTGGAACTGGTCGTCGGTGTTGGTCATGTTGCGGGCTGCGTCGACGAAGCCCTGCGTGCCGTTGGAGATGACGGCGTAGGGCGAGTTGGTGGTTGTGATGGACTGGGCGGAGGCGATGCCTGAGATTAGGGAGCCGCTGGCGGCGAGGCCGGAGGGGACGAGCACGAAGATGGCGGGGAGCATGGCTGCGGCTGCGAGGCCGTGGCGGAGGCGGCTGTAGAGGTTGCCAAGGACGCCGATGACGAAGGCGCCGAGGGCGGAGGAGACCTGCGTGCTGGAGGCGAAGCGCTTGGAGCCGAAGTAGTTGGTGACGTAGCCGGCGAAGGCGATGAAGAGCATGACGGGGATCTGGCGCCATTTGGCCTGGTTGACGAGCGCGAGGCAGAGAGTGAAGAGGATGACGAAGGGGAAGTGCTGCAGGTACTCGTTGCTGATCGGGCTCGGGGGGCAGGTGTACTCAGTCGAGGCGTCCGAGTCCAGCAGGCCGTACACGGCGGTGCCGATGGTGATGCCGAATCCGAGGAACATCGAGTAGATGATGGCGTAGACCATGCGCACGGACCCGGCAACGATGGTGCGCGATTGCAGTTCCAGACTGGCGCACAGCACCATGTACCCGGGCAGAATCAGCGCAATCGACGATTGTGCCAGGGCCGAAAAGCAGAACAGCCGTTCGCCTTCGTACCGGATGCTGCCAAAGGCCCTGGCCAGGAAGGAGGTCAGCACCGCCGCCGAGATCTCAAACACATTCGAGTACAGGTTCGAACGCGGGGACAGGACCAGTTGCAGGACGCCCAGGAGGCATCCGAGCAGAAAGGCGATCGGCAGGTCGATCGGTCGGGCATTGAAGGCAAACGGCCCCACGGACGCCGAAGCAAACCCGTGGACCAGGATGAGCATCCACACGGAATACTTGTTCTTCTTCTTCATGATCTCCTCCAGCCGCTGAATGGCTTCCTCCACGCCRATCACGTCGTGAATGACCTCCTTATAGACAATATGTACATCGGAGAGCTTGCCCAGGTCGACTCCCTGGGCCGACCGGACCACCTTGACCTCGGTGGTGTGCGTGGACGCGTCGTCAAAGGAGATGATCATACAGCCGGGTATGTACAGGAACTGGCCGTCGATCTCCAGGACGCGGGCAGTCATGGTCATGTACTCCTCGAGACGATGGGTCGGAGCACCGTACTTCATCAGTGCCCGGCACAGTCGGATGAGATACCGCTGGCGCGAGAGCAGCTCAGCGATATGGACGGTGATGCGGATCTCATCCTCCAGCCGGGGTTTGGCCCAGCGTTTGCCGCCCGCGCCGGGAACGGGACCACTGCTCCGCGAACGCTTGAGCATCGCAATGGGCGAGCTGGACGAGTTCTTGGCCGTCGAGCCGGAGAGGGAAGTGCTGGATTGGCTTGGGGATTTCTCGTACCACTTCCGTTGACGCTGGGGTTGTTTCCAGCCAGGGTCCGGCGAGAGGCCCCGGCTGCTGACCTCCCCTAGACTGCTCTGGCGGGAGTGGCCATATCGGCCGCGGGAATAGTGGCTGCTGCCCGACGACTGGTCGTATAGCTTGAGGAGGGACGAGAGGATGCCCCCCCGGTAATGGGTTGGCCGCTCGACATAGGCGTCGGGATCTCTCTCTTCCATGGGGGTGATCTGTCCGGAGCGGAGTCCTGGGGACGGTGCGCGGATCCGGGTCAGAAAGTTAAAGTCTTTACGAGTCATTTGTCGCACGAGCTGATGGGCCTCTGAGGTTCGGGTCAATGTTCGTCCATCGACAAGGCCGTCGTCATCCTCGTCGGGAAAGTCGTCGTAGAAATGTTTCTCGGAAAGATTGATCATGGGAATGTCACTACCATCTTCTGAAGGCGGCACCACCTCTGTGGGAGTCGATGCGACTGATGACGGCAGACTCGATCGGGGGCTTGGCCGGGGAGATTTCGAAGTACGTCCCAGAAGGGACGCCAGTCGCTGGGCTCGCTCCTGAGCAAACTGAAAGGCTCTCCCTTTCTCTCCGCTGATCTCATAGTCCCTTGGAATCTCCGACGAGCTGGCTTGGGAGTGGACAGCGAGGCCCGTGACACCTGCAGGGGCGTTGGAGCCCGGATCCACCGGAGGAGATGAATGGGGAGCTTTCTCTGCAGCTGGAATGCTGGCGGCAGGCAATGGTCGCTGAGGGAGTGACGAGCCCCTTCCGTCAAAACGGGTCTCTGACGTCGATCCCGCTGCCGGAGCCTCGAGCAGGCCAGCCTCGCTGACGGTGAACTTGACGCGATTCGCACTTCTCAAAATGCCTGCATTCCGATGCCTACCCTGGGTGTTGATAGGGTCCAGCGGTTTTTCCTGAGGTGAGCTCTCATTGGGAGTCACAAGAGGAGAAGTACGCGGCCCTGGGGCAGATCTGCTCGCATTATGGGATTCATCAGTAAGGCTTGAACGCCGGGACGAGGATACCGGTAGATCGAAATAACCGCCGGCCATATTTGTAAAGGCCTTTCTTTACACGACTGACGGATTGCGCAGAGACACACACCCGGACTCTCAGGACTGTCTGTGCTACCTCTGGATTCTTTTTTGTCTTTCACAAGTTGTGCACCCTCCTCCCCCTTTTTCTTTTTTTTTTTAATTCCGATGTCTTGCTGCTTCTGCTGAATTAAATATTAATTAGGTAAGTATTATTGTCTTTTGTTTTCTGGTATCCCCCTTTGCTTGTGAAGTAGCAGCGGGAAGGACGTGCAAGGTGTATTTGCGTAGCCTGGCAACCGGGTCAGATATGCACTTGCATCACAAGGTGATCAATGCCAAGGATCAGAAGTAAGTACCGAGACACACCTCGCAGACTTTGTGCCAGAATCCGAAGACGATGGAGGCACGGATGATAAGATCTTGGGATCGCAGCAGGAGCTTGAGCTCAACCACTCGGTGGGATGGAAGGGGGTGAAGATCCCGCTACCAAGAATGCAAGTACGTCACGAATACATGGTCGAAAGATCGGATATGAATAAGCCAGCAGGGACCAGGCGAGAAAGAGTACGACAGCTGCAGGTGATCAAAAGAGAGGGGGGGAGGCGAAAGCAAAGACAGAGAGATGATGCACAGAGGTACACACACTCGAGGAGGGAAAGGGGAGAAACCAGGGTAATGATGGGGAAATGACGAAGCGAGGATGAGAGAGGCAATTAAAAGAGAAGATTTCGAAAATTATTAAAATCAAAAATCAAGATAAAAAAAGGATCTGAGGTTGTCTGTGTGAGGATGTGGATGGAAGCAGCCGAATTCAGCCAGCGCAATGAAGCGAATGCGGATAGGGACAGGAGAAAAAGGCTATGATCAACAGAGAGCTTTCTCAGCACAAAATCATATGAAAAAATGACCAATTAATCTCGACCTTTTTCTGGTTCTGTGTAGCAAGATGATGTCTGTGGGGATGAAGGAAAATACTGTGAGATTTTCCTTTTCAAGTAACTGACGTGAGGCGAGGGAGGAGGAGGAGATTTGTCTCGGAAGCTTTGCCACAACACCTTGGAAGAAATAATATGAGGACAGCAGATAAGAAGGAAATTGAGAGATGATAAATTGTCGGATGGGGCAGTTTTGGTCTGATTCTAGAAGGAAGAGACAATAGCAATGGTGTGCTTGGAGAGAAGAATATCACAACGCATCGCCGAGACCAGCCAGAGGATTTTCGAAACATAAAGGTACTTGTTAATTCATGGTAATAATGGTAATGGCTTTGACTTTCCATCCTCCTCCAATGGTGAA